AATTGTCAAGGAGAATCTTTGAGTCAACTAGTGTCAGGGGCGGATCCAGAACTCCGTTTTGGGGGGGGGGGGGGGGGGGGGGGGGGGGGGGGGGGGGGGGGGGGCGGAAAATGTGTAAGGGTACTATTCTCCCATTCTTTCGTATGCACTTGGGGGTCCACCCATGTCAAATTGCCCTCCAAGAAGTGGGAGGAGGGGGGTTGACTTTGTTTGGGGGGGGGGGGGGGAGGGGGGGGGAGGGGGGGGTGCGGCCGCCCCTGTCGCCCCTGTCGCCCCTCCTTTGGATCCGCCACTGACTTCTGTTCGACGAAAAATGGACTTGCCACAAAACACGGGGCTACTTTTCCGACTCTGACATCGTTGTACGTAAGGGCCTTAGTTGTAGGCATACTGGTGGTTTCACACGAAATCTGTGTCCAGTGGTTCCAATATAAATATTATGTGCGAGTCGTTTCCGACATTATGGACATGTGACACGAGTACACCTCGTTCAGTGCGTTTGGTAACGGAACCACATCGTGACATAATGCTCATTGATGTCGCGTCTATCCCAGAATAGTTTACACGAGTTGTGTATCTACTTCAGTATCAAGCAGGTGAAGTTCATACATGTTCCAGTTTCACGTTTGTCAATGTCATACATATTCCAGTGTAACGGATATGAATTTTATACATATGCTAGTTTCACTCATATAAAGTTAATACATATTCCAGTTTCACGTATATGAAGTTCGTAGACATTCTAATTTCACGCATATGAAATGTATGCATGTTCCAGTTTCACTGATATTCCAGTATCACGCGTATAAAGTTCATTGCTCCAATTCCATTCATGAAGGTCATACATGTTCCAGTTCACGCATATAAAATTTTGCATGTTCCAGTTTCACTCATATTCCAGTATCACGCACATAAAGTTCATGCAGGCTCCAGTTTCATTCATGAAGTTCATACATGTTCCAGTTCACGCATATGAAGTTCATGCATGTTCCAGATCACGCTTATGGATTTCGTTCATATTCCAGTGTCATTCATACGCAACCTACATTTTAAGTAATATTTACATGTATAAAGTTCACATAGTATTACTTTAAAAAATTCTACATGTCCAGTGCCGTTTATTTTAACGTCACATCCATTCCGGTATCATTCATATCAAAGCAATTTTTATGCCAATATCATTCACATGAAAGTAATGTATGTTCCAGTACCATTCACATGAAACTGCTATATATTGCATCATTCATATGGCATTGAAGGAGGGGGCATTTTACCTTTTGTAGCATGTTTTGTAGCAGGCGAAATATTGGTTCGAAGGAGCCACTTCAGCGCTACGTCCGTGTCACTTCTTTGTCTGGTCCTCGTCTTTCCGCGGTGTTTTTAATTCCGAAGCCACTAACGGTTTTGGAGCGATCACAGCGCATGTTAGCACGTCACTCGAAAATTAAACGGTGATTGCAGTGCTAAATGAGACTTAATCGTTAATAACGATTGAGGTTCATCTATGGTACTGAAGCATATTACTTATTTCCTTTTTATAATAAGAATAGATAGGACGCAAAAAGAATACAAAGCCTCCCATTTTAGAAATAAGGTTCAGGTATTAAAATGGGTATTAAAAATAGTCGAAAAACGAATCATAGCGAAACACTTTAGTTAAGATAAAGCCTGTCTCGTCCTCCCCCTTTTAAGGTCGGTAGTTTATTTAGCCTGTAAATATACTTTCTCTAAAACGGCGGCAAAAAAATTATTATTATTATTATTATTATTATTACAGTGATGAGAGTGGCAGTTCACCTTTTATGGCACGTTTTGTAGCAGGTAAAATATTGGTTCGGAGGAGCCATATTGGACGCTATTGGAGTAGATGTTAACACCTGTTACCACATCACCTGAAAAAAACGTTTCGCATTTTTGAACATATTACTTATTACCTTGTGTAACAAGAATAGGCGGGGCACAAAAGGAACACAGAGCCTTCTTTTTAGAAATAGGGCTCAGGTCAGAGTAAGTTGAATTTGCAATTTATATTACAAATGGCAAAAAAAAAAAAAAAAAAGATTAATCATTGGGGTAATTCTTTTTTTTCCTTTTACGCTTGGTAGTTTACTTAGGCTGTCGATATAATTTCTGTAAAATGCCAGTAAAAAGCCAACATATCCGTCAACACGTTTATCACCAAAAAAATACGAAGTTTTATGAACCTACCAAGCTCAAGACTCTAATGTCATAAACTGCCGAAACAACCACCCCAATATATATTAAAAAAAAAAAAAAAAAACTACACTTGTGCTTCTAAAGCAACACTAGCCTTGAGTGGCTTTGGAACGAGTTACGATGTCCAAGTTTGCTGCTCTTTCGATCGACCCTCGACTACATTGGACGCTTTGCACGCGCGCAGGATTACAGCCGCTGCCGTGGCTGACCTTCTCTTGTGTTACCGAGATACCGAGCCACCTTTCACGGCAAGTATTCCAGTAACATTCGTGTGAAAGTCTTCCAACAAATTAGGCGAAAGTAATCCGGTATCGTGCAAGTAAACAGCACTATCTGCAGTATCGCTCGTATATGACGACATAATCCGTTCCAATGCGTGCTTCAGCGAGAGTCCTGCCGATTCTCGTATCGATGATAAGTGAATTGCGGCCACGTTCGAAACCGACTGATAAGGGAGCATACTCCGAACTGCGAACACAATTTCCGGGCGCCGTCGTTTCGCCGTTGGCGTCCGCTTGATCTTTGAACCTCGCTCAGCCGGGTTCGTGACTGCTTTCTTATTGGAAAGCTATATATTGCTCGATTTCAGCCCACACTTTGGTTATTATGACTCGATGCCGACACCACCGGTGCGGGAATAAGGTATGTTAGTATCGGCACCAGCGTGTATAATAACCCAAACGATGGCGACATGCCACTTTGATCGAGAAACGGAGGGGCTGGAGGGGCGGTCACTCTGTCCCCTCTCACGCCCATTTGTCCATTGACACTTTGTGGAATCACTAAATAATAGATGAATTGTTGATTCTTATTAAAGAGAAACTATTTTCCTGCATGGAATTATTTTCAGCGGCGGGTTGGGGGTAGGGGGGGATAACTAATTCCCGACTTCCATATACCACCGCGTAGTACACACTCAATACATCCAGATCACGTAGAGAGAGAGAGAGACTGTAATGTAAGAGAGGGAAAGGGGGGGGAGAGGGTGTGCTCGTGTTCGAAGAGCCATGCCCTGTAAGGAAGTGATCAGAGAGCAACGGGGAACGGAAATGCGCGCGGTCATACCTCGGCTCGCGGGCAGCTGTGGGAAAGAAACGGCTTTCAGGGCCGTTTACCTGTCGCCCTCTCCCCCCGGTAATCTCTCCCCCTCCCTCGTCGCCGCGCACTTCTCTCCGCTGCTTCCGGGGGGAACTAGTTCCTTAGGTGAGGACCGAACCACGTTCTATTCATCCCTAAGCTGACAGTGCGGTAGGAGCTAGGCGCTCGTCGAACCATTCAACTACCTCCCTTTCATCACCTGACCGTACTCTCTGCGGCGCCCGGGTACGGGACGATCACGTCGTGACTTGCGTGTCGACTTGGGGATAAATTGAACGTACAGTACACCCATGAGCGATACGAAGGTGAACAGCCCTTCTTCTTGTGTTTGACGCTCCTGCAAGTTTTGAAACAAGCTCTGTTCCAGAAGAGGGCTAGAACGCAAAGTTCAGACCCCAAGCCACGTACCATTTGAGACGTTGAGAGTTAATATAGCTTTCGGGAGCCGTAAAACAGGCAAGAAAGCAGGAGGTGTTCACCTTCATATTGCCGGAGGGTGTACACCCTTTTCACCTACAATCTGACAGTGCGGTGCAAACTACGGGCCCGTTGGTACCAGCCGTGCGTCTATTTCTCGTCACGTGATCACGTTCCCAGCCATACACCAGGGTTGTACGTACGGTACACTCGTTACAAGTAACCAAATGACTCGTGATCGACTACTTTCTGGAAGTATACTAAAATTACCTTTTTTGTTTTCTTCCCGTTCATTAATGGCGCGCTTTATTTCTACAAGTTTTCTACCCGGGGGAATCTTCGAATGAAGTCTCTGACGGGATGATGGTCTACCAAAATCGGTGCATTGAGAAGACGAGGAGTTCGTAATTCAGCGATTGTAATTTAATAACGGACAGTACGAAACCGCAAAAAAATGTGTCATCTTAAAAATTCTAAAGTAATCGGCAAAGTAACGACGAATTACTTTTTCTGTCGATTAATTAATCGATAATAAACGATTAATCAAGCGGGTTCGCGCGATGGAAGGGGAGGGGGGCGATCGATTGGTCGGTCGAGAGCGTAGCTCGCACCGCACTGTCAGCTGCGGGGTTAAGCGGAGTACAGGCGGTACACGGCTAACGGCTCTAATCCCAACATCGCTCCAGTTTACAGACGCCGGTGTGGGAGGAGGAGGGGCGGAAACCTCCGACGGCACGGCGACGACCTTGTAGATACCGCAGCAGAAGACGGAACCGAACGCTTTTTTTTTTTTCAAGGCCGCCGAGACCGTTGTACCGCGAGGTCCCTCTACCGGTCTAGCGAAGCCTAGTCAGCCTCTATCTAGGTCACCGACGCCGGTAAAGATGTCCGCTTGTGTACGGCTGCGGGCCCTTATCGAAAACGCTTGTACGGTAGTGGAAAAATAAGTAAATAAAGAACTGGATTGCATGTTGTGTTTTGGTTTACGCAACTGAGCTCAAGAAACAGGCTCTGGCAGGTCGGAATATTTATGCGAGTGTTGGATGAGCGTAAAATCGCCTTCCGGTGCGACAAATGATCACCGGTCTGAAGTTGGTCTCTTTTGACTCGGCTGAGCCGGTCGAACACGAAGGCAAGTGCGCGCAACGCTTTCGGGCTTTGTCACATGGCGATAACGGCCTTTTGGAGGAGCTCAGCAGTCAGCGAGCAAATGACAACATGAAGTCTTGGGAGTTGAGCTTCGTACCTTGCTTTGTTCTGTGGCCCAGGTGCGCGTGCTTGCCGAATGACTGCCTGTGGCCGGACTGCCCGCCGGACACCGTGCGGCGCCTGGTGAAGAAGGGCAACCGGCAGCCCGGGTCATGCTGCGATGCCTACGAGTGCATCCCGGGTGAGTTCTTCTTTTTTTCTTTTTTTTTCCCTTCGATCTTGCCTAAGGAAACGCGAGAAGGTTCAACAAGAGGAAAAGGGGGGTCGCTTTATTGTCCAGCTTCTCTTGCCCGCAGAGCTCGGTGTTTACCCAACAGAAGACCTCTGGACTAGATTTTTTTATGAGGTCATCTACAGGGTAATTCAAGGAGACGCTAGGCTCTTTAAATCGACCGCAAAATTCGGTTTCTTAACCTATCGCGCTACGACTTTGTGCAGCGTTGCCCACAGATGTGCATTTTTTTTTTTTTTTGTGAAATTTGCAAAGAGCGAACTTACCTGAGGAAAAAGTAAAGAACGAAAAAGGCTGAGCTCCTGTGGAAATGCAGCGAAGCCATCGGTCCTCAAACAACACGGCGCCGTTTCGCATGGGAGACAAGAGATGGCGCAAGCGGTCGCGACGCCAACTGCCGCCAACGAACGAGGAGACGACGCCGAGAGCCGGCGTCTTCAGCAGACAAGGAACTGCAGTTCCTTGTTATTACCGCGCCTGTTTTTGTTACTGCGACTGTCACCGCTTGCGGAACGCGCGCCGCTTTTGAGTAGAAAGAATCGTCTGCTAAAGACGCCGGCTCTCGGTGCCGTATGCTCGTTCGTTGGCGGCGTTCGTTGCGCCATCTCTTGTCTCCCGTGCGAAACGGCGCCGTGTTGTTTGAAGACCGGTGGCGTCGCTGCATTTCCGTAGGAGCTAAGCCTTTTCTTCGCTTTTTCCTCAGATAAGTTCGCTCTTTGCAAATTTTACACAAAAAATGCACCATCTGTGGGCAACGCTGCACAAAGTCGTAGCGCGATAGGTTAAGAAACCGAATTTTGCGATCGATTTAAAGAGCCTGGCGTCTAATCACCCTGTATAGTCGGTTAAGAATAAAGTTGAAGCTCCCCCCCCCCCCCCCCCCCACATTGGAGGGGAGGCGACCTCATTGCCAGCGTTCCCTCTCCTCTTAATTTGTCATCGACTATACCTAGATCGAGCCAAGACCACCTATACGCTAAGTCATTAATTATTGCACTCATTCCACACACCTTGAAAATTTTAACGCGGTAGCATTTAGTAGCTCGTGTCGCAAAAACATCTGGCGTCGGTGGAACCAAAAAATCCCATAATGCAACGTGCGGTGCCACTTGTGACGTCACGCGTGGGTGTGACGCCATTACCTTATCGAACGGCTAAATGTTCTCTGAATGGACAACCAGTCGTTCGTTTCTATAGTCTGAATTGTTATATGTACCAGTTCACTGTAGTTTAGCGCTTTTAATATGGACTCTCCTTTTACTTTCTTGTTCCCTTTCTGGTGTAGATAATGCATTTTTGTTCTCAATGGCTGCTCCTTCCTGTCACAAAGCGCGTACAATTGTACACGTGACGGGAAATCATGTCGGAAGAAAAACTTGGCCGTCTCGACAACAAACACCACTTCAGCTTGCGACGATTGCTGGCAATATAGCAATAACTGATAACAATTACCCGTGTATAGGGCAGAGATAGAGTAGCGGAAAGAAATAACGAGCGAGGACGATTTTTCTTTTCTCAATGGCAGCGCCATGCATGTTCGCTTGGTGCGCCTACACAAGCACGCAGCTCCGACTTCTCACCGCTACGGTAGCGCTGCGTCTGTCGCCACGGCGCATGCGCGGTGCTCACACCTGGTGTGCGCAAGCGCGCGGATCGCACAGAAAGAGTGATGTCCTGCACCCGTACACCAAAGAGCTTGGTCAACTGCGGCCGAAAGTTCAGAGCATGATTATAGCAGGCGCCAAATGCTGCCGATTCGACCAAACGTTCGGCAAACAAGTAGGGACGCTAATGGTACGTGCAGACACTCTCGTATACCTGTTTGCCGTCTTAGCGAACGGGAAAGAACTCGCGGTGTAGAAGGAAACGATCGGGCAAGCCGCGACTGTTGACGCTATTTGGGGTAACTAAGTGGTGGTGTGGTCCGTAATAGCGCGTAATAAGAGGAGGCGCGGTTTGCGCGTGTGCCAGACATCACCTAGATGGAAAGGCCCGGCGCATGACGTCATCGTTAGTGGACCCCGACCGTTCCCACAAGCGGCAAACACGCCGGAGCTCGACGCAAAGCGGCATACGCGTCCGTCTTGGGCTTGACCGCGTGCTGGCGCCGCGCTCGTTGTAACACGCTGCACGCCTGGATCCACTTGTGATGACGTAGGAGGGTTTGGGGGGGGGGGGGTGAAAGGTGCCGGGCCTTGTCTTATAAGCCAAAGCGTGGCTTGTCAACTTTGCCAAGCAATTACGGGTCGGCAGGTGTCTCCCCTTTTCTGCGCGTGTCGTTTACAACGTATCCCGTCGCTGTGTGTGTGTGTGGTCTCGAGGAAAAAGAAACATGATACAATCAGATTAATTTGAATACCTATTGCATTCACGATTTTGGGAGAGGGGGGGGAGAGAGAGAAAAAAGAACAGCGTTCAGTTAAACAGGGAAATAGGTGGTGTCGGGTAGACCTGTTTTGGCACGTGTTAGGGGAAAAAAGGGGGGGGGGGGGGTCGAGGGATCAATATGTCGAATTTGTTTTATGAATCTCGATGCCTCGGGAAGACATTTTGTACTGACATGGTGCGTTGTCATCATCGGTTTATTTTGTCTGCTCATGAACAGCGAAATTGCCTTAATTATGATGCGCAGAAAAGTATTACGCATTCCAACATGTCGATGCCCGTTTAATGATGTTGTTATACCGTATGATTTTTGTGGGTTATAAAAACTAGCTAAGATTATGTATTTAACCTAAGTGGTAACAGTAAAACTCAATAACAAAAAAATCTAAATCAAGAACTAACACGAAATTCGCGGCAAATTTCTTGTTTAGGATATTCAGTAAGTAGTTTAGTATTAGGCCAGAGAAGACCTAAACATTTGAAAATGCCTGAGTTAATGAGTTCGATACTGGTTCTGCTAAAGGTGTTATAAAATGTTGTATGCGGTTCATAAATTAATTAATATATATATATATATATATATATATGGGTGGTTTCATCTCAAATCGGGCAGGCTAAGAGGGTCTAATTTTTAATTTTGACAAAAAACATATATCATATATGTTGTGGGGGCATTTCTCAAATGAAGGCGGGCGCAAACCCCATGTTCCCAGATTTTCTGTTCTCGAGTTACGAAGCGTAGCAAAGCCGCAGTGGCTAAACTAGTGTTTTTGCCCGCCATAGCAGGTCGCGTGGTAGACTCCCTCTGCTGGCGCTAATTTGCTTCCTTCACCCTTTTAACCTTTTTCCCTCATTTAATAGGTACTATACGAATACCGTGATGTATTCAAATATTTTTAGGAATTTTGTTTTTCTGAATAAAATCTCAAACTCGTCGTTTAGGTCGAGTTTTGGTCAAATTTGACATTTCTTATGTCTCACAACGTTTACGTGAAGGTGGCGGAGCGACTAGTCTACATATCATAATGGTATTATGATATTTATAATGGGCTTGTTTTGGTCTTTCTTTAGTGCTAAAGAAAGAAAATTTACCTGAAGTACAGACAAAGGCGGAGCGGCGAGTCTACAGATCATAATGGTATTATGATATCTATTGAGGAGTTTCAGCGACGGTGTCACCGCCCTGGCGGCCGGTCGCCGAAAGAGAACGAGGGGGATAGGTTCGCTGGGCGTTGGCTTTGTGTAAATGCGTTGGCCGCGAACGTAGGCTTATAAACTTCGGTAGCAAGAATATTACGCGGCTCTAGTGTTCCGGTACGAGCAACAGAGGTGACACGATCTGCTACGACTAGCTACGACCACCCGCTTCAGCGATGCAGGCGTCGAAGGAGCGCAACCTGTGTACTACGCAGTCAGTCGCCGTCGCTCGACGCAGGTCGTTTGGCATTCAGGGCTTTCCGCCCCGGGTTCTTCGCTTGTACTTGGAACCGAGTATTATTTCCTGTGCTTGTGTATGTGCTCAGTGGCTGGATATGGACCTCATAGAGCAGTTCTTCAGACTCAACAGCGACTCAAATCAAAGTTGAAGGGCGGAGGGGCTTGCAGCAACGCTTTCGGTTGGTGCACGGGTGCGACGACTACACGGATAAATTTTAAGGTTGCTGCTAGCAAGGTGGGCCATAGTCGCTTTATGTTGACACGATTTTGAGTGTAAGTACTCCGTGCAAAGGCGAATCTATCGCGTTTCTAATCCACCTTTGTTTTGGTTGTTTTTAGCACGAACGACCGACTGCTAAGCAAATGCTTCTGTACGGATCACGGAGTGAATGTCTTCGGCCTTACATTGCGGAACGCCCAATAAAAAGTCATATTCGTTCAGCGAGAAAACTTCCCTTTCGATTGACTTTCTTTGATTGATAATTTCTCCCGTACTTAAGTGCTTTAATCAACACGATCGATTAAGTTTGTTTCCCTAATTAGGACATTTTTGTGCCACATGCGGCACTAATGCTTGGCACGATGTATGCCACTGGTGGTATTGTGAATCGGTTTACTTCCAAAGCTAACAGTGTGACAGGTGGGACCATTCAATTTGCTAAAAATGTGATATGGGAATTTCGTTGCATAACTAGCGTTTTACGTTTAAGATTGATAAGAAACATGCTCATGTGATGATGCATGTCTACAGCATAAGCTTTGCAGATCCAGAGTGGATGTGCTATAGGCTACAGCCTCAAGATTTTTAATCGACCAAATTGGTGATTACACGGCAATAAATATTGTGGTGGAAAACTGCCCATTGACTCGGTAAGTTTTGATTGTGACCATGGTGTGCTGTTGGCAAATTAGGTAATGGCACACCTTTTCCCTGACCATCTGGCTTCAAGGGACATTGCATCTAGATGTGCTTAAATATCTTTATTTCAAGGTTCAGTGGACCCCTCTGCATCATTACAGGAAGGCAGTCTAAAGCCACAACAAACAGCAGCAGTGAATATACAATGCATAATAAGAGGCACCAGTGTGCCAATTTGAGCATAAAAATGTTTTTGTTTTGTTTAGATAGTTTGCATTTGGTGTATAATCCGCAGGGCCCGATTTCCGTGCCCAGTGCTTAGTCTGCCAAGCTGGTGCGTAGCGTCTTCGTGCTTTTTTTCCTGGGTGGCGTTTTCTTCAGAAGTTCTTCGGCGAACGCTATTGAGCCTGAAGAACTGCTCTTGAGGCCCATATCCAGCCACTGAGCACACACAAGCACAGAAAATAACACTCGGTGTCAAGTACAAACGAAGCACCTGGGCGGAAAGCCGTGAATGCAAAACGAGCAGCGTCGGGTGACGGCGACTGACTGCGTTGCGCCCCTTCGACGCCTGCATCGCTGCGGTGGGTGGTCAAGATATGTGTGGAAGTGTTCGACGACGTGGACTCTCTCACGTTGGTGCAGTTGGCATCAAGAAAGGTACATATCAACAACGTTGCGTGTTTGAGGCTGAAACTATGACGTATACTTATGTAAACCTAAATTTATCGGTCTGCGGCTACAAACATTTTCGTTGACGCTGCTTAGATGGTGTAAGCGTTCAGGCCTCGCATTAAATGGTGTTGCAAACTCTTCGGTTGTGTATGAAAACCTATTTTTGCCCTAATAAAAGACATTTTCAAAAGGACACGTGTCTTCTGCTGATACATATCTTCCAATTTACAATGCAGAGGCAAACAGAAAATCAACTGCGTACATCTACCACTTAGCATAAGCACCTTTTGCCATTCATTCTTGAGCGCACTCAAATATCAGCTTAGGTTGCTCTTGTTTCAGAAGCTTTGCCCTGTTCTGTAAAAAGAAAACAGTTAAAAAAGCTTTACCTTCGTTCTCCTTCTCGCATCTAATACAGGCTTGTTTGTCAGCAGATCACACACAGCAGATATCAACGTGGCACATACAACTCGAATGACCGATGAGACTATTGCTATTACAGTAAAGCTTTCCACAAGAGCCAAAACGAGGCTTGTAGGGGTACACAAGCACATCGAAATGAGATTGGCGCTTCCGGGGCTTGTTTACATTATGCGTAAAAACAGGACGATCATCGGCGGCGCCCAGCTGATCGCAATATAACACCAAGGATACCGATGTTTCGATACATAGAACGCAGGATAAAGACCTCAGTCGTCCCTTGTATGCTGTAGTTGTCATACTTTCCATCCAACCGCTTTTTAGCACAATTCATTTCATTTTATTACCTCAAAGGCACTCGACTTGCGAGCGCATTGCATGAGGGGGGAAATTCATAATATACAATTAGAACTTCAAAACAGTATTTTCGCGTATATACTATTTACATCTTAGAATAATACGCACAAAAATGCACTGGGGAAAGCGTGCACACAAAAGAGCAGGAAAAAGAACACATACATGATATAACATTGCTATTTCATATATTGCGACATAATTGAATGGGTGTAAACAAAGATTAACGCAAAAAAGATCAAGATGAAAATGCACAAATATACAACAGCGTGCAAGGCAAATAAATATCAAGGTAGAGACCGCTTACTAACTGCTCATTCCAATGTACTGTTCACATTTTAATTTATATGCTGCTAGGTTAGTCTCCGATACCACTTCGTATGGCATATCGTTCCAATCTCTAATGCACATGACAACAGGCGACGAGGAAAATAATAGTGTGCGTGATTTGGGCGTCTGAATCTTGAGTTGGTGATCCGTTCTGGGTGATATATAGGAGGGCGATTTGCAGTAGGTTCGCCTAAAAGTTGATGCGCTAACCGAATAACCGAAGAGTTCTTAATGCGAGGCACGATGTAGTGTGATGCGAGGCCTGAATGGTTACATCATCTAAGCAACGTCAACGAAAATGTTTGTAGCCGCACACCGATAAGTTTAGTTTTAGATAAAGTACGCCTAATAGTTTCAACGCGCGAACATTGTTGATATGTACCTTTCTTTACACCCGCATACATTCGGTTCAACTTGATGAGCGTGAGAGCTCACGTCGAACACTTGCACACATATCTTGACTATGGCAAGATTTCTTGCCTTCGACTGGCTTAAACACTTCATCTGCAGCATCACGGTAGGTCTTGGTTGAACGATGATCGTCTCGCACACGGCAACAAACAGAGAACGACACGCTTTGTTTTATTCATACGCTATACCGGTCTACGGGCGTCGCAAGTCTATCCCCCTCTTGTCCGCCATGTTGGATCGATAATGGGCTTGTTTTGGTCTTTCTATAGTGCTAAAGAAAGAAAATTTACCTGAAGTACAGACAAAGGCGGAGCGGCGAGTCTACAGATCATAATGGTATTATGATATCTATAATGGGCTTGTAGAGCTAAAGAAAAATGTCTATAGAGCTAAAGGTGGCAGGTTCGAATCCCCGCCGAGGTGCCCGCAATCTGACCGAGTCTTATTGCGGAGAAGGCAACCGAGCCTTTGGTTACGCGTCAAAAGATCCCCGGGTTGCCGAAATGAATCCTCGGCCCTCCGCTGGGGCATGCCAGATGCCCTTCGTTGTTTTGTCACGTGAAAACCCCTAAAATTTGATTGGATTGTTGCTGTATCGTAGAGTTGGCGTGTTTCTTTGTTCCCCGGCAGCCGGCAGCGGCGACGGCGTGTGCCGGGTGGGCAAGGAGACGTACAAGACGAACGAGACGTGGCAGACCAAGTGCAGCAGCTGCTCGTGCCGCAACGGGGTGGCCAACTGCAACGACCACCCGTGCAAGGGCGTCGACGTCCACTGCTCCTGGCTCCACAAGCCGGACGGGGACTGCTGCCCGGTCTGCCTCGGTGAGCGACTCCGCCCACCTGCGCGTTCTCACTGTCCAAACGCCAGCCGCGAAAATCGCGCCAACGTCGCCGAAAACCCTTTCGCCGCTTTAAAAGCAATTCCCTGTACTTGGCCGTTCCTGCAAAGGTTGCACGCAGTTAAAGGGATACTACAACGAAATTTTGGCGCTTATCTTTTGGTCTGTACGTGTTCAAAGGAGCAGCATCACATCGGACACACCAATATCTTGTTAAAAAATACACGGAAAGGAATTTTAAAACGAATTAAACGATGAGCAAAGAGCACCTGGTGGGTGTCGCTAACGCCTCGTTTGTAATGCCCGTCTAGGAACCTTGACAGGTAGTGACGGTAACTGTCTCGCCTAGAACTATGCATGCTTTGAACCTGACGTCATCCCGACAGCTCTACGGCAAGCACAAGAGAAGAATGGAGGGAGGAACTCCCCACTCAACGGGACTCTCTTTTGCGTATCCCCAAACGTCGCAATTCTCCCTATACAAGATTATAGAAGATTTACCCGTCACTCAAAATTCACACGGAAGCAGCTTTGCGGTTATTTGCGGGTGGCTCGATCGCTGGCGTGCTTCGACCGCTTCGGTGGCTGGAACGGCTGCGGCGAGGCTGACGACGTCAGTCTCGCCTCAGCTTTGCTCATCTTGAGACAAACTACGTCACGATTGCGCCGGATGTGACGTGCCCTCTGCTGGCTGTTCTCCGAGCGCTTGCCAGAGTGGGCCGTTTATAACGAAAAATATAGCCACCAGGCTTAAAATACAAACGTGCGATTGTCATTTACGGATATTGTGGATCATATTCAGCCTATTTCTGAACACGACGGGTATATTTCAAATTTCGTTGAAGTATCTCTTTAAAGCGACACTGGCAGGGTATTTATGGTGGCCAAGGTTTTTATTTCTACATGACGTATGAGAGCCCAACTACCCGGAGCAGAATTTGCGTCTCGAAATTTGCTTTCTTTCCACCCGAAAACCACGGATCGAGAACTGGCTGGTTTGAGTCGCGCTCACTCTCTTCTCCGTGGTCACGTGCCGTTTTCTGTGGTTTAGACACAACTACCGAAGGTAATTAAAGTCATGGGCCATCGGAGGCACACACTCAATACTAAAAACATACTAAAAGATATGATACCCGTTCTTTGTGGCCTCTAAAACACTGCAAACACGTAATTAAAAAAAAAAAAAAAAAAAAAAAGTTGCACAGTTACGCGATTTCTGGTAACTTTCTCCCCGGTCCAGCTTCGGTTTCGAGCAGTTGCGTATTTTGACTTTATTAAAAATATACGTGACGCTGTAGCAAAATATTGATTGGGTAGTCTCCCGACACCATAATAAATCGCCTGGCAAAAGATTAGAAACATTTTTGGGGGAGAGTGTCAATGTCTTTTCAAAAAGCCCCTAAAAAAATATAAAGAAAAGATTTTTTAAGTCACAGTTGGGATACGCGCGTCAGAAAATTAATTTTATGCGAAACAAAATTTTTTAGGGCAATATTGACGGCGCGAGACGCGATTTAGTCGGCAGTTACCTCCCTTCCACTTGTTTTTTCTCTCGGCATTTCGTGCGCGTGGAGGAGAGGTGGATCGGCTTCGCCTTCACGACCGAGATGGTCATTCCGGAATGACCCGTGACGTCATAAACCTCGCGCACAAAATTTCAATTTTTTTTTTTTTTTTTTTGGACACGCGTGTTTTAATTAGACTGTTGAAAAGGAAAACTTTCTTCTTCTTTCTTTTTAGGGGGTAAGGGTTCTCCAAACAGGACACGTTTTCTGGAGTTCACGCTTTTGCTCTACTGAGAGTGGAGTTTTTGTTCCAAATCGCTTTAAAGCCTTTTTTTTTTTTTTTTTTTTCTTACTGGTGTTGGGGGAAAGTCATTTTTTGCATGCGTCCTGGTACAGGGGCCTGGAGCGTGCTCATCACTCGAGTTTCGGTAGCCACTTACACGCTCTGCTGGCTGCCGAGGCCTTCGCCGTTGTCGGTTCAGGATCTCCCGAAAACAAGGGGAGCAGACGACAGCGAGGGGGCGAAAAGGAAAACTTTGCAGTTTGTGTGGCTCATGTCCTCACTGAAAAACTACGCGCGCGCCAAAACATCTTTTTTTTTTTTTTTTACACGGTTATTGTTGTGTGATGTTTGGACATGCTTTGGCACTGCCGTGTATAAAATTAGCGGACGGTGTTCATGCGACACTCTGGTGTCATGTTACGCCATGACATCATGTGACACTAAATTTAGGTGAGAGATTTCTCCGCTAAATGCGAGGAACTTGTTTCATTGCGGTTCTCGGGGTGAAGGAACGAATGCCAGACCTTTTCCATCGACCTTCTACGAATGAATGGATAGTAGTGGCTGTACCCTCCGTACCGGGCGGCAGCTCGCGCCACCTAGCGATCACCCCTGGAGGTTGCCAACGCAGTGTACCTCCCGCCCATTCCAGGCTGCCTGACGTCGTCGGGGCTGCGCTTCAACAACAGCGAGCGTTGGAAGGAGGACGACTGCACCTGGTGCGAGTGCGTGTCCGGCAAGGCCAAGTGCGAGACCCAGATGTGCCAGACCAAGTGCCCCAACCCGGTCAAGCAGCCGGGCGTCTGCTGCCCCGTCTGCGAGAGTGAGTGCTCCGCCGACGTCGTCGCCTTTCGAGAAAGGTCTTCTTGCGCGTGCGCGGTGCCCACCGCCCCTTTGGGTCGACGCGCGCCTTCGACGTCACAGTGCGGCGGTGCCACCGCTTACGGCCAACACCAACTAGAATCAAAGCGAAAAATAAAAACTCGTGATTTAAAAACAATATAACTAAAAGATTAGATAAATCATGTATATTTGATTTGAAATCAGGTTAATTTGATTTAAATTGGATTTATTTGATTTAAATCGGATAAATATGACCTAAATCAGATTAATTTGATTTAGATCATATTTTTGATATTAGTTTGATTTAAATCAGATCCATCAGATTAGTTTGATTTAAATCATATCAGTTTAATTTAAGTTAGAGCGATCAGATTACTTTGATTTAAATTATATCAGTCTGATTTAAATCGGATAAATATGATCTAAATCAGATTAATTTGATTTAAATCGTATTTTTGAGATTAGTTTGATTTAAATCAGATCCATCAGATTAGTTTGATTTAAATCATATCAGTTTAATTTAAGTTAGAGCGATCAGATTACTTTGATTTAAATTATATCAGTCTGATTTAAATCGGATAAATATGACCTAAATCAGATTAATTTGATTTAAATCGTATTTTTGATATTAGTTTGATTTAAATCAGATCCATCAGATTAGTTTGATTTAAAGGGACCATGAAATGATTTTAAAATCGAATTTCATCCACCGCACGTCGTAAAAGGTGTGAAAAGGAACACAAAAACACAAGACTAGGGAGCCAAAAAAATTTATTTGCTATAGAACTTTTAAAAGAAAACTGGACTCTTTTGCGACTTCTTTCCTTCGAAAGCTCTGCCTTTTCACTACGATGCATACGCAGAATCGGTGCACGTCAGCCGAATCCACATCGCCTATTGGGTAAGAGCCTACCTCACCAGCACCGCGATCGTAAACAATAAATAGCCGGCGAATGTTTCCTAAAAAATTTGTTAAATAATATTCAGATCCACATTTTGTAGCATAATTAGAGATGTGTGGCGAAAATTGCCAAATTTGATAATGCTGAGAGCCAAGCGCCATCTATCGTGTGGTAAACGAAGCAACTACTGCGCGTGCGCAGTAGGGCAGGGCCAAGTCAGAACGGTTATTTCCTTTGGTTTCCTTCCTCTCAAAACTCTGACTGACTGAACGTTTATTTTTCTACGTGTTCATCTCGCGCGTGCCGACTTCAAGCAGCAAGAAAGAAATGTACTTAAAACAAACCACGACGAACAAGAACGCTGGATCCACAAACACCCGAGAAGAGCGACAACAGCCGCGAATCCCGCTCCGACGAAACTCTCAGAATATAGGCCTAGCAGGCACTCCGACTCGGCGCAGCGTTGCTTCGTCGCAAGACCGTCTGCCTACGACCGGCCGGCGTACTGAATGGAATATGCCCGCGCTACCCTTGTGGACCCTTCCGTATTATAGTTTGATCGCTGACCTCAATTTTAGGTTAAGAGGTGAGGTCAATCTCTTCCCCTTGTTTTCCGAGGCAGTGTTGACGAACACTCGTCGAAAAGGGACCCTCGTCGATCCTCTCCTTGTTTTGTGTGATATAGAGCTGAAATAAACGCTGTATGGATTACCTTCGTAGCACGGTATGTACACTTTGTTATTGGTATGCCATTTTTAATCTGACAGACTGCACGTCACTGTCGAGCTGTAACAGTTCGTGGGAGGTATACGTGCAATACCGGTCCAACCTTTCTTTGCCGAGTGTCGCGTCAGTATCGAGTTGCAATTGTAAAAGATCGGTCCCGAAGCGCTTACCAACAGCGCGAATACAGCACTTCATCAAACGCGCGCGTCCGCTCCGAGTGTGAACAGGTATTTACGTGGCTCTTGCTGACAGTTCAAACGTATCTTTTTTAACGTCGGCTCGCTCCTGCATCTCCGAGACCGCGAAAAACGCCGCGGCAAATTGTTCCCATCTGCACTTCCCAACAGGCATACCGGCGTATGGGACTAGTCCCATGCTGTCGCTGTAGCGCAACGTATCTCATTGAATTTCGTTCAGCTGCGATGCGGCGATGAGAGGCGCCGATTCAGAAAATACGTCGGTGACATCGGCGCAGTAAAACCCACCGGCGCACCCCAACTCGCTAACGCTCCCATCTCCTACTGCAGAGAGAACTTCCGGTTCCGGAAACATCGTACGTCACGGCTTGTTTTGCGGTCAAGAAAAAGTCGATATTTCATTAATTTTTTGTGTAGAAGTTAATAAACCGAGACGAAAACGGATGCCTGTTCGGCATTCAGTGAACATTGACGGTTTAATGTAAAAGTTATGTGGAAAAAGTAAAAAAGTCATTTCATGGTCCCTTTAAATCATATCAGTTTAATTTAAGTTAGAGCGATCAGATTACTTTGATTTAAATTATATCAGTCTGATTTAAATCGGATAAATATGATCTAAATCAGATTAATTTGATTTAAATCGTATTTTTGAGATTAGTTTGATTTAAATCAGATCCATCAGATTAGTTTGATTTAAATCATATCAGTTTAATTTAAGTTAGAGCGATCAGATTACTTTGATTTAAATTATATCAGTCTGATTTAAATCGGATAAATATGACCTAAATCAGATTAATTTGGTTTAAATCGTATTTTTGATATTAGTTTGATTTAAATCAGATCCATCAGATTAGTTTGATTTAAATCATATCAGTTTAATTTAAGTTAGAGCGATCAGATTACTTTGATTTAAATTATATCAGTCTGATTTAAATCGGATAAATATGACCTAATGCAGATTAATTTGATTTAAATCGTATTTTTGATATTAGTTTGATTTAAATCAGATCCATCAGATTAGTTTGATTTAAATCATATCAGTTTAATTTAAGTTAGAGCGATCAGATTACTTTGATTTAAATTATATCAGTCTGATTTAAATCGGATAAATATGATCTAAATCAGATTAATTTGATTTAAATCGTATTTTTGAGATTAGTTTGATTTAAATCAGATCCATCAGATTAGTTTGATTTAAATCATATCAGTTTAATTTAAGTTAGAGCGATCAGATTACTTTGATTTAAATTATATCAGTCTGATTTAAATCGGATAAATATGACCTAAATCAGATTAATTTGATTTAAATCGTATTTTTGATATTAGTTTGATTTAAATCAGATCCATCAGATTAGTTTGATTTAAATCATATCAGTTTAATTTAAGTTAGAGCGATCAGATTACTTTGATTTAAATTATATCAGTCTGATTTAAATCGGATAAATATGATCTAAATCAGATTAATTTGATTTAAATCGTATTTTTGAGATTAGTTTGATTTAAATCAGATCCATCAGATTAGTTTGATTTAAATCATATCAGTTTAATTTAAGTTAGAGCGATCAGATTACTTTGATTTAAATTATATCAGTCTGATTTAAATCGGATAAATATGACCTAAATCAGATTAATTTGATTTAAATCATATTTTTGATATTAGTTTGATTTAAATCAGATCCATCAGATTAGTTTGATTTAAATCATATCAGTTTAATTTAAGTTAGAGCGATCAGATTACTTTGATTTAAATTATATCAGTCTGATTTAAATCGGATAAATATGATCTAAATCAGATTAATTTGATTTAAATCGTATTTTTGAGATTAGTTTGATTTAAATCAGATCCATCAGATTAGTTTGATTTAAATCATATCAGTTTAAGTTAGAGCGATCAGATTACTTTGATTTAAATTATATCAGTCTGATTTAAATCGGATAAATATGACCTAAATCAGATTAATTTGATTTAAATCGTATTTTTGATATTAGTTTGATTTAAATCAGATCCATCAGATTAGTTTGATTTAAATCATATCAGTTTAATTTAAGTTAGAGCGATCAGATTACTTTGATTTAAATTATATCAGTCTGATTTAAATCGGATAAATATGATCTAAATCAGATTAATTTGATTTAAATCGTATTTTTGAGATTAGTTTGATTTAAATCAGATCCATCAGATTAGTTTGATTTAAATCATATCAGTTTAATTTAAGTTAGAGCGATCAGATTACTTTGATTTAAATTATATCAGTCTGATTTAAATCGGATAAATATGACCTAAATCAGATTAATTTGATTTAAATCGTATTTTTGAGATTAGTTTGATTTAAATCAGATCCATCAGATTAGTTTGATTTAAATCATATCAGTTTAATTTAAGTTAGAGCGATCAGATTACTTTGATTTAAATTATATCAGTCTGATTTAAATCGGATAAATATGACCTAAATCAGATTAATTTGATTTAAATCGTATTTTTGATATTAGTTTGATTTAAATCAGATCCATCAGATTAGTTTGATTTAAATCATATCAGTTTAATTTAAGTTAGAGCGATCAGATTACTTTGATTTAAATTATATCATTCTGATTTAAATCGGATAAATATGATCTAAATCAGATTAATTTGATTTAAATCGTATTTTTGAGATTAGTTTGATTTAAATCAGATCCATCAGATTAGTTTGATTTAAATCATATCAGTTTAATTTAAGTTAGAGCGATCAGATTACTTTGATTTAAATTATATCAGTCTGATTTAAATCGGATAAATATGACCTAAATCAGATTAATTTGATTTAAATCGTATTTTTGAGATTAGTTTGATTTAAATCAGATCCATCAGATTAGTTTGATTTAAATCATATCAGTTTAATTTAAGTTAGAGCGATCAGATTACTTTGATTTAAATTATATCAGTCTGATTTAAATCGGATAAATATGACCTAATCCAGATTAATTTGATTTAAATCGTATTTTTGATATTAGTTTGATTTAAATCAGATCCATCAGATTAGTTTGATTTAAATCATATCAGTTTAATTTAAGTTAGAGCGATCAGATTACTTTGATTTAAATTATATCAGTCTGATTTAAATCGGATAAATATGATCTAAATCAGATTAATTTGATTTAAATCGTATTTTTGAGATTAGTTTGATTTAAATCAGATCCATCAGATTAGTTTGATTTAAATCATATCAGTTTAATTTAAGTTAGAGCGATCAGATTACTTTGATTTAAATTATATCAGTCTGATTTAAATCGGATAAATATGACCTAAATCAGATTAATTTGATTTAAATCGTATTTTTGAGATTAGTTTGATTTAAATCAGATCCATCAGATTAGTTTGATTTAAATCATATCAGTTTAATTTAAGTTAGAGCGATCAGATTACTTTGATTTAAATTATATCAGTCTGATTTAAATCGGATAAATATGACCTAAATCAGATTAATTTGATTTAAATCGTATTTTTGATATTAGTTTGATTTAAATCAGATCCATCAGATTAGTTTGATTTAAATCATATCAGTTTAATTTAAGTTAGAGCGATCAGATTACTTTGATTTAAATTATATCAGTCTGATTTAAATCGGATAAATATGATCTAAATCAGATTCATTTGATTTAAATCGTATTTTTGATATTAGTTTGATTTAAATCAGATCCATCAGATTAGTTTGATTTAAATCATATCAGTTTAATTTAAGTTAGAGCGATCAGATTACTTTGATTTAAATTATATCAGTCTGATTTAAATCGGATAAATATGACCTAAATCAGATTAATTTGATTTAAATCATATTTTTGATATTAGTTTGATTTAAATCAGATCCATCAGATTAGTTTGATTTAAATCATATCAGTTTAATTTAAGTTAGAGCGATCAGATTACTTTGATTTAAATTATATCAGTCTGATTTAAATCGGATAAATATGACCTAAATCAGATTAATTTGATTTAAATCGTATTTTTGATATTAGTTTGATTTAAATCAGATCCATCAGATTAGTTTGATTTAAATCATATCAGTTTAATTTAAGTTAGAGCGATCAGATTACTTTGATTTAAATTATATCAGTCTGATTTAAATCGGATAAATATGACCTAAATCAGATTAATTTGATTTAAATCATATTTTTGATATTAGTTTGATTTAAATCAGATCCATCAGATTAGTTTGATTTAAATCATATCAGTTTAATTTAAGTTAGAGCGATCAGATTACTTTGATTTAAATTATATCAGTCTGATTTAAATCGGATAAATATGACCTAAATCAGATTAATTTGATTTAAATCATATTTTTGATATTAGTTTGATTTAAATCAGATCCATCAGATTAGTTTGATTTAAATCATATCAGTTTAATTTAAGTTAGAGCGATCAGATTACTTTGATTTAAATTATATCAGTCTGATTTAAATCGGATAAATATGATCTAAATCAGATTAATTTGATTTAAATCGTATTTTTGAGATTAGTTTGATTTAAATCAGATCCATCAGATTAGTTTGATTTAAATCATATCAGTTTAATTTAAGTTAGAGCGATCAGATTACTTTGATTTAAATTATATCAGTCTGATTTAAATCGGATAAATATGATCTGAATCAGATTAATTTGATTTAAATCGTATTTTTGAGATTAGTTTGATTTAAATCAGATCCATCAATTAGTTTGATTAAAATCATATTTTCGAGATTTCTTTAAGTCAGATCCATCAGATTAGTTTGATTTAAATCATATCAGTTTAATTTAAATTAGAGCCATCAGATTACTTTGATTTAAATCATATTAGTTTGATTTAAATCATATCCATCCGATTAGTTTGATTTAAACCAGATATATCAGATTAGTTTGGTTTAAATTGGATTAATTTTATTTAAATCATTATAGCTAGAAAAAGTGATCCTTATCACCAGATGTATTTTGAAAAATGGCAGATTGATAAATTGATCAATCCATCCAGTCACTGAAAATAATGTGGAAAAATACGGGAAATTTAAAGTATCATCTAATTAACAACTTTTTATGGATGTAAACCCACGATATTAAAACAAATTCACCTCAATAAATTTTTTTTATTTTTTGGTTGAAAAAGATTTTATTTTTTGGTTGAAAAAGATTTTATTTTTGTGTATGTGTGTGTTCTGATTTGCTTACAATATATTTTTCTTGTTTTTTGTTTCTTCTTTTTGCTTTCTAATTTTCTTGCCATAGGACATTATGTAACTAACAAACTCTGATTTGCCCAGAAGAGCAACGCTTTTTACTGATCATCCTCCTGTTATAAATATATCTTGCCTGATGGCTATTTGATTTAAGCATAAAAGAAACGTGCATAGAAAGCACTAGACAATAAGCAAACAGTGAATTACAAAAAAAAAATATTTTTGGGATAATTTGTGTGGGAAAAGTTTGATTTAAAGGGACACTGACAGGGTATTCATGATCGCCGAGGTTTTTATTTGACTATAACCTATAAGAGCCCAACTACCCAGAACAAAAATTGCGGCTCGAAATTAGTTTTCTTTACACCCGAAAACAGCCGGTCAAGAATCGGCCGGTTTCAGTCGTGTTCACTCTCGTTTCCATGGTCACGTGGCGTTGAAAATATGTGTACCAGATATATTGAAGGTTGTGGGTGATCTAAAACACACAATACACTGATAGAGGAAAAAATGTTGAACAGATCACTGGAAGTATACATAGTATACAAGTCATTCTCAATATGGCGACGTACCGCAAGCTGGACGACGCGATGTTGGTGCACGACGAACCAACGTCGTTCGTGGTACCGGCCAACCGATCTTCAAGCGCAGAACACTGAGCAGAAGGAATATAAGGGCAATGCAATCGCGCAACAAACGGTTCACGCAAGTTCGTCGTCGTCGTCTGCTTCAGAAAAACAGAGAAGCGGAGCAAAAACAAATGCAGTCGAGTGTAGCCACCCGACTTCCGGCCATGAGCTTCCGTGCTCATGTTTCTATTTCTGTTTCGAGCAGTTGAGCTTTCTGGCTTTATTAATTGGATTGGATAGTCTCCTGATACTATATTACATCACCTAACAAAAAATGCAAGCTTTTCTTTTGAGGGGGGGGGGGGGTCAGTGTCTCTTTAAATCATCATTAGAAGACCGGTGTGATTTAAATCACGATTCAAATTATCCTGATTTTTATTCTCCACCCTGCCTAGGGTAATCGAAGCCTGTGAACAGATTCCTTTACCTCCACATGACGTCCTCACACTCAGATGGCACCGACTTAACTATTGGACCCAAGCCCAAACGCTGATGCTCATGTCCAATCTGAGTCTGCTCTCGATCTCATTCTTGTGATGCTAAAATGCTAGTGCACGAGCTTTGGTTACACTAGGCGGTGTCATCGCGGCACGGTGTGCTATGGTGTACGACGTTATGAGGTGCATGCATATGCGCTTCAGTTCTTGGAAAGTTTGTTTCCCACAATCTCAAGCAACCACTCATCCTTGTGACGATTTTAGATCAGTGGTAGTGACAGACACACGAGTACGAAAATATCATCGCCGGTGCGAAATGAGTAATTGCTGAATTCCCGCGTTGTCGTCAAAGGGTGCGCCCTCAAAAAATACACGGTGCGCGCACTTTTTACTCATTGTCCTCCATGTACACACCATCGTGTTGCGGAAAATCGGCGCCCGCAGCACCGATGCCGCGAGTGTTGCTTTTCCGCGGTGCACCGGGACTCTGCGGGGAAATGCACTCAATGGAGACGGCGGTCTATTCTGAAAAATTTTGGGAAAACTTGCATCGAGTTCAAAATGTAAATTTTCGAATTCGACTATTCGATTCAAGGGGTTGAATAGAAAACAGGGCAATCGAACCAATATTCAAAGGCCTCACGTACGGGCACAATTTTACCGCTTAACTGGAATAGGAAACGACATCGAGATTATGCTTGAACAAGCATCTTGTACTACCTCGGGAACTAAACGAATATTACCAAACGCTACAAATCGCGTGTGTGCCCACTGCACATTATCTGGTCCCCTAAAGCATGTACACTAAATGACGCCATTAGCACGAACAAGCTATCGTCAGTGTTCCCTACTTTTCTTTTAGAATTGAAAGGCCATGATGAAACCTAGTGCGTTGGAAAGGGCCGATTCGGGACATTAACCGAAGCGGTAAAGTCTAGTGCCCACCAGCACGCCATGAAAGTAAAACGCGCAAAAGTGCCGATGCTGTTGTGTTTAAACTAACAGCGTTGTGCAGTCTACAAAAAGAATTGACACCGACATTTATCTCTAAAGCTCACATAATGCATGAAATGCAAAATTTAAAGGGTGGTCGTTTTAATTTGTTTAAAAGACATTAAACAGTCGTTTCGGGGAGTGGAGAATCCATAATTTAGCGGGGAAACTGAATTACTGTATAAGTCACTTGACGTCAGGTCATAGGGCATCACTTTTTGTGCTAAATTTAGCGAGAAAGCGGAATTGGTGTACTGGTCTCGTGACGGCAGGTCACATGACATCAATTTTACCGCTAAATTTAGCGGGGGAACTAGTTGTTTAGGTCACGTGATGTCAATTTCTCCGGTAAACTTAGCGGGCGACGAACGGACAAAATTTTGGGGTTGAAGGAGTTCTGTTCAAAAGCGCTTCATGTTTTAAATGGGCTTCTTCCCTCCCCTACCGACAAACACAAAGAAAGGGAACGATTTTCAGCCCTTTTGAAGACTCGCAACATCAAGTTCCCCGATCCCAACGCTGTTACGGCGCCGGCTCCCCGCAGAAACCGCTTCACCCGGTTCGAGCGTCTTCCACGTGGGCGCCAACCGAACCTCGCCGTCGACGCGGGTGTGCGGCCAAGACGACCGGAGCGTTTGGCGCGACCAGTGCCGGCACTGCGCCTGCCTCAACGGCCGCGAGGTCTGCTCCCTGGTGGCATGCCCAAGAACCTACTGCGAACATCCCGTCATGGAGCCCGGTGCCTGCTGCCCCGTGTGTCAGAGTGAGTTCGCCCGCCAGGGCTAGCCAACGAAGAACCGACGCCGGTGGCCAGCGGCAAACTGACCAAATGCCGGTTCGCACACTTGCGTTTGCTTGGGATAGATAGATAGAACGCGCTGGCACAATGACACTACCTGTGAGGCGACCCTGCAACCGTATTTTACTACAGCAAAGGTTCCGCGGTGTTTGCGAGATCACACATACAGTAACAGTCTGCGAGAGATGGTCGTTTACGACGTAAAGTTTTTTGAGCCAAAAAAGAAGGAATGGTGAGCGAAAGAAAAAGGGAATGGAACCCAAAAGTTTATCAATGTGAAGCCATCCCCAAACCGTTCAGAACGAATATAGCTCGTCTGCTTTCCCCGGTTCAGGCACACTCAACCATTTTGGATGGCTGTGGTAACAGACGGCAGCACTAATTTTTTTTCAAATTTTGCTCCCATTTTGTTTGTGGCTAGAAGTTTGATTTTGAAGGCAACCAATTTAATTTTGAGGACAACGATTAAGCAGTATGAGGGTCAGAAATGCCCAAAAACTAAGACTTAACAGTTAAGGGGTTAAAGGTCTTAAGGCATGCTGTCATAAGCAGTCGCAGGCGTGATAACCGGCGTTAATGTTCCCTCGTGATCGCTCATGGCGTGAGAACCCATCAATGTAAATTATCAAACAGCCTTGGAACACTTCCCGTTTTGCGTACATTTTCTTGCTTCTCTCTCACTGCCAGGGGCAGATACAGGAATTTCCTGAGGGGGGGGGTCAGCTGTTGGTCAGCGTACCCTATGTTGAGGAACCCCCTCCCCCTCTCCCTGATTTAACGCCCTAAATTTTACACATGCAGAAATCAAGAGGGGGGTCAGGACATCCGGACCCCACTTCTAAATCCGCCCCTGCTCACTGCTTCTCACTGCTTACATTTTCTTGCTTCTATGCACGTCATTCTTTCACCATGGGCTTGAAAAACATTTGACTAAATTATAAGTAGGGTACAGTGTTTTCGGATAAATCGGAAAAACACTTGCTGGTAAATTTTACGTCAATTTGGATTTATCCGAGGCAACTCAGAATTTCGAGGTGTTTTACAAGTAAGAGCACAAGGTCAGTGGTCCTGAGATGCAACTACAGTTTTCTTTGAAATGTCGAACTACTGATAAACAGAGTTAGCCTTTTAGCTTGTCAAGGTTTCTTCAGACAACCGGTCATGGTACTCTGACTTAATTTATTTGGCTTCTTTTATTTAAAAAAAATTGGGAACACCGTAAAACAAACTTTGAATTTCAGGGGATTTGGGAATCTAACAGAAATAAACTCTGACAAACCCCAAACTTTAAGCGAAAAATAAAACACCCGCGGAATTTCACGAGAAATAAACTCTGAAAATACGGAACCCCTATTATCAGCAACCGTTTCTCGTAGACAGTGCATATATTTGATCTCGCAAATACCACAAAACCGTCAGACCAGTTGCATACATAGTTCCGGGGCTACCCGACAGACGACGCCAGTGTGCTCGCTCGTCATAAGCAGTTATAAGGGCTGCAACGCAGTCAATCACACTTTAATAAATGAATATCTGTGTCAAAAATAAAAAAAGCTTATCAAAATGCACGTACAAACGTCTGTGTCGGCAATGTCAACGAGACGGCAGACCTGTTGTTCCTCGAGATTCAGAATGAACCCCGCGGTCCATGCAGACGACGTCACCATCCCATTTCGGCGCGCCCCTGTGAGCGCGGCTGTCTGTCAGGGGCTGGACGGCCACATCCACCGAGAGGGGGACTCCTGGTGGCTGGACGACTGTACCCAGTGCGTGTGCGTGGACGGCTTCGCCATGTGCGAGTCTACCCCATGTCCAGCGGCCCCCTGCGCCCTCCCCGTGCGCAAGCAAGGGCAGTGTTGTCCCGTCTGCAACGGTGAGCGGCTGTCTGCGGTCGTTGCGGACTGTGGCAAAAGCTCCGAGGCCCGTTGCAACCATACTTGTTTTCACCTCGAGGACCGTAGTAAAAACAAGTCTGACTTCTTGCTGAGCATTACTGAATTCCCATCCAATTTATATAGATAATTAGGATATCTAAAGAGTTTATTTTTTCCCCTAAATGAACCGAATCCAGAATTTGAAACAAAGCCAATTTCATTTGAAATTCGAAGTATATGTGGAGTCCATCGTTACCAAAAAGTATTAATCCGAAATCGGTCACATTATGCAAGAAAATCCTATGTAAAGGTGGTCATGGTACAGGGCTCAAAGCTAGTCCGATAGGCACACATTCCTGTTTATTTCAGTTTTGCTTCTCACGGATTTGGCTCATTTTGGAAAAAGTAAAAAAAACTCCTCATATGTAGCAGCTTTTTTGGATTAGATATATGTTATCTTAACAAGACGGACACATTTCATACACTAAAAGTGTATGAAATATGAAACAACTAAATCTTATAAGAACTACTTCGCGCGGCACGTAAACAAAAAGTAAATCTTCATTTTTTTTTTTTCTTTTTTAGGTGAAAACGGGTATAGAGATGCAAAGGCTTTTGTAAATCTTCAATGGTCAAAGATTTTCGTGGGTTGTCTTCGAGAGAGGACGGAATGCCAGTACCATTGAACCAACACCGCCTAGAAGACAAGGCATGCGCTTTTTTGCACTGAACGTCGTTGCTAATGAATTCACGCAGTGCGCCCGGCTTGTGCTAGCATCGCCGTCGGCGTGTCTCAGAACGTCGGACAGTAGGCGCGACGATGGCACACGGCATCACCGAGACGGACCCGTCTGCCGCTTTGAGGCGACTCTCGTAGAGCTTTGACGTGGTTGTCGCTTGGGGCGAGTCGGGGATCCACTTGCGACAATGTCGTGAGCAAGCCTCATCTTCTTGGTGGTATTGATTGAATGTTTATTTTTTTTTAATGCAATCTAATCGGGGAATGTAGAAATAGCGTTAAAGAAAAAAAAAATTGCCTGGAAATTTTTCAAGGATTTAAGGCCTTTTTCTGTGCTTAGCCCCGTAAAAACATAACAAAGATAACTTTCTTTCACAAATGTTCGGTGTTTCTTTTTACAAACTTGCATCACCAGTAGCATACCTGCCAAGTTCGGAGAAACCAAATCCGTGAGAATTTCTAAGCAGAAGGGGGAGGGGGGTGGGGGAGTAGCAGTTTTATAAAAAGAAATATTGACAACAAATGTACATGAAGACAACTTCATTACATCTTTATTGCAGTGCTCATGCTAGCGAGCAACAGCTGGGCCCCACTATCATTGCAGCTGTTTGTTGCGACGGCAAAATCTCCTTATTTAAGTGTGGAGAGGGAGGTGGAGGAGGATTGGTAATTCGCGTTTCCAGGAAGATTTTTCTGTCAATCGTACAACCACAGAAATTGGTCGAAATTCGGGAGTCTCCTGGGTAATACGAGAGACTTGGCAGGTATGCGGTAGCGACTGAAGGTGCCGTAACTTTCAAGCTGGACGTTCGAAGATCAAACTTTTATTGAAGTTCTGTCGTCCGTTCTGCCGTTCTGCTCTAAACTTTTAACCATTCCCAATTTCCTAGATTTATTTCTAAAAACCCCAGAAGCAAAAATAAACTTAAGACAAAACGAGAGCTCTTGCATGCATCGCTCCTGGGCCAATAAAGATCATTATCATTAGTAGTACTAGTATCAAATGACACTGGCATCCTTCTTGCCTCTAAACAGGCTAAATCTTTTGGCGACATGTTGACTGCAATCCCGAAGCCTTCCCACAAATTTCTGATATAAAAAAAAATAAAAGTGACGTCATCGTGACACCAATTTATTACAATATTTATCGGGATCGTAAGAAGTGCTAAGAGCTAACCAACATTATTAGATTATTATTATTATTATTATCATTAGATTTTTCAAACAATGGAACAGCCCATAGATGCCACTTCCACAAGCAGTACCCCCCTCAATTCCACCTTCATTGTTTAATGCACCGCCGTTTTTCTGGGGGGACAGCTGCAACGGTAACCATGGTTATACAGGTCTCGAAGCACAGCATCTAGAGGGTGCTCGCCGTGCCTCTGAAATACACAGCTTTGAAACGCAGCATCTAGATGGTACCTCAAACGATGGCTGGCAGGCTTGAGAGGGAGAGGGCCCCCTTAGTGGCAGTTCCACGAATGAGTCGACCTAATTTAAAAGACGTTGGCACGCGCGCTCTTCGTCTCTCGCTGACGAAGTCCTTCGCCGACGGATCAAGCACGACCGTGATGCTTGCTCGATCCCCACAGAGGAAGCCCACCTTGGGGGCAACTCATCCAACCAGCTGCCGTGCGTCGGGGGCCTCAAGGACGGGCAGTCGTGGCGCAGCGAGCCTTGCCTGAGCTGCCTGTGCCAGGCAGGGAAGGAGCGCTGCTTCCGGGAGACATGCCCACCCACTACCTGTCTCGAGCCGCTCTACCTCAAGAACCGGTGCTGCCCAATCTGCCCGGGTGAGCAAAGACCGTCTCAGCTTTAAAAACGGCTTTCCGCATGCGCTCGCCGACTCCCTTCGTGCTTTGGCTCCGCGTACGTGCCCGAAATTTACGAGACGCCAAAGCTTTGTCGAAGGTAGGATGCCAGGGGTGGGACGACCAAACGACTTCCCCGTCTTTCTCGTCCTGTCCGCGACTATGGTAAGGATATTACTGCGGTAGCTTTTAGTGGCCCATCCCCAGGTTTCGCGACAGCGTGAGCGTAAACAAAAAGCTTCCCTGCTACATTTGGCGGGAAAATTGATGTTGCGTGACGGGACGTTGCGAGACCTAGACAAGTTCAGGTTCCCTGCTAAATTCAGCGGAAAAAATTTATGTCACTTGACCTAAGCACCAATCCAGTTTCACCTCCACATTTGGCGGGAAAATCGACATCACATGACCTACCTATGTACCACATCAGTTTCCCCGCTAAATTTGGCGGGAAAATTGATGTCACATGGACCGACGTCATGGGACATACCAGACTAACTCGTGTTCCCCGCTAAATCCAGCAAAAGTATTAACATCACATGACCTATGCACCAATTCAGTTTCCCCGCTAAATTTAGCGGAAAAATTGGCGTCACGTCATCTATGCACAAATTTAGTTTCTCTACTAAATTTGGTGGGAAAACGCATTGCAACCTTAAACTCATATATTCGTCAACGACATATTGACGCTAAATCAACGCAACGTCATTTAAACATCAGATCACTGTATGACGCACGATCGGCGCAATGTCAATCAATTGTTGTCACATTGCCGAATAAGCAGCACAGCTGCCGCTGTCTGAACGCATTGCGTCGTGTTATCATCGTGCAATTTTGACATACCTACTAGTGATCCAATGTTCAAGTACGCTTGAAACACTAAAGCAGGCGTTTGAGCGTGTACCGATGTAGTGAAGATTGTTTTCATGTAAATTCTGACTTCACTAAGATTATATATAGTATTCAAAGATGTTGATGTAGCGAGGCAGATGTAAATGCGCTTGAAATACTAATACAGGAATGATGCACTGAAGATGTTTTTACCGAAAAAGTTTGCTTTAGGGTTACAAAAATGGAGCAATTCATTATAATTACGACTGTGCTCCCATGCAAGAGGTATTTGATAGGATTGTACGAGATGAAGCAAATTTGAACGATTATCTCGAAACTAGCCGCTTCTTTTCTAATCTACCGGGTTGATCGGTTAGGGATTGTGTGTGCACATGGGGCACGTGCAGATTGTTTTAGAGCACAGCTCTTAGGCGCCCGTTTCCGGCTTGAGCGGCGACGCCGTCGCCGTTGCCGTCGGCATAATTGCGCGGTGCATTATGGGTAAATTTCCCCGCCAATGTAGCAGAAAATTTTTTCCGCCAAATTTAGCGGAAAAATTTCCCCGCCACATTTAGCGGAAAATTTCCCCACTAAATTTAGCAGAAAAAATTCCCCGCTAAATTTGGCAGAAGAATTTCTCTGCTAAATTTAGCGGGAAACTTTCCCCGCTAAATTTAGCGGAAAAATTTCCCCGCTAAGTTTAGCAGAAAAATTCCCCCGCTAAATTTAGTGGAAAAAATTCCCCTGCTAAATTTGGCGGAGAATTTTTTCCGCTAAATTTAGTGGAAAATTTTCCCCTAAATGGGAGGCGAGCAGGAAAGGAAGAGGGGCATAGCCTCCTCTCCGTACCTCTCTCTCCTCCTCCTCAAGAGCTGCGATCTAATTCGGCGTTACAGGGAGTTGCAAACGTCTTTCATTTTTATTGCTTGGGCAAGTCTCCCCATATTTACGGCGTACAATCGACAATTTGCACGTCCCAACCACAAGATGCAGTTCGAATCAGAATTGTTCGTAAAGAGTGCCTCATCGTAAAAATGACTATTATTAGTCGCAAGGATTTTCGACTTTCAACACATTGATACTCGATGTGCCGAAAGTTCAAAGATGTGTCGTTTTGCCTGTTCTTGGGTTCATACAAAAAGTATTCTAGTCTCGACCTTGAAGAAAAATGCCCAATTTATCTGGATCCCATGGATAGAGTTGGTATATACAGAATATGCTTTCGTTGCATTCGTTTGTAATGCATGTCAAATTTTTTCATTTTTTTTCTTAGGTTATGGCATGTTAATTTATTCCAAACTCTCCCCATTTTTATGTGATGGTGAGCACGTCTTGGATTTCTTGTTTCTTTCCATAAACTGTATGAACTCGAGCACTGGCACTCACTTTCAAACAGTTAGTAGAGGCCACCACAGTAGACGCAAAGCTAGCTAGATTTGCATCCAACCCACCCATTGGTGCAATAATAGAATGTCTAGCTCACGTTCCAGGGGTCTTCGGTTGGAATCCCGTTGGGGCACCTATAGAATTACGTTCTTCTCAGTTTACCACTCTTTTGTACAGATTGTCCTCGAAGTATGCGCTACAGATTTTGTAATGGCTTCCGTGATGCTCTGTCACACTTTCCTCAAGCATTCCAGCCCTTGGCTGCATTCCGTGTTAATATCACAAAGAGGGACAAACTTCACAGCACGTGCTCACACGGCACCCTCCGTCTGTTCTTACCTTTCCCGAATGCAGTGTCTGCGTCCAAGCCGTCCCCCAGCTGCCGGACGGACGGCAAGTCGTACCCGGACGGGTCGTGGTGGTCGCCAGACAACTGCAAGCGCTGCCACTGCACCCAGGGACAGGTGCACTGCTCCGAGATGGGCTGCCCCGCTGGGCTGTGCCGCTCGGCCGACCACGCCTCCGGAAGCTGCTGCATTCCGTGCACGGGTGCGTGGCAGGGGAGGTTGCCGTAAAATCCCCAGCAAGCGCCCATTTAAAATTTGGGGACGACTGTGTAAACTGGGTGGGGGATGGGCGCTTCCTAGGTCAACCGTATGTAAATATATGTGCTTTCTGTATTTTCCGAATGTTACAAAGTTGAGGGTTGGGCGGTTGTTGTAGAATGGGCGGATGCTCGGTATTTTATGGTAGTCTAGCAAACTTCAATTCCTTCGGCTTATTCTTGTTCCTAGTAAGCTGTTATGCAGTTTAAGCACACATCAAGCAAAAATCACGAACCACTGTGCGTCGAGGGTGACCAAATTATCTGCATCCAGTAAGCATCGTCGTATTTGCCCCTAGATCTAGGAGACTTCTAAAACATGTCCCTTAGAATGAAGCTTTGAACTAGGTAAGTTTCCCTATGCCTAGAATAAGCTGCAAGGCCCGCTTCAGACTGGGCAATTTCTGCCAGCAACTTGATGTCACAACACGGGCCGCCCGCATTCACACGCAGCAATCGATTGCTGTGATTTTCCATCATCATTCATTTTTTTTTTTGCGCACTATTTAGACACAGATTTGTGTTTGTCCTTTGCTGTCCTTGTTCCCTTTCTCAAGGGATTATTATCGACACAGTTACGCGCTATAAACATATTCTTAAGCCGAGTGCAAGTTCATCTGCTTCTTTTGCAAGGGTTGTGGCGACACCAGAACGCCGAGCTTTGATTGGCTCTGATCGAAGGATAGTGGGTAATCCTTGAGGCAGCTAGCATTGAGGTCAACCCACTATCCTTCCAATCAGAGTTTGGTGTTCTGAGGTCACTGCAACCCCTGCAAAAGAAGCAGACGAACGTGCACTCCGCCTACCTTTAAACGGCATTGAGAATACTACCTCATCTTTTTGAAATGGTTCATTCCCAAAAACAATGAATTTCAAACCAGAATCAAGTCTTTAGTTGTCATCATCTCCGGCTTGGTTTGCCACATGAAAATATTCCATCCCTGATTGGCTGCTGCTGCTGCTTCAAACGTGTCCGAGTTGCTCGTCCGTTTTGAACCAGACGCGATCCGAGCAATTTCTGTTGTGCTGGGGAAAGCTAGGGAACAGCTGGCCAGCAATACCAAAATTGCTGGGAAAGTCGTCCCGTCTGAAGCGGGCCTATAATCCAGGCAATGTTTTTCGGTGCTGGCACTGAGCACTGTTTTTTGTGATGCGAGGCAAGTGTTTGTTCCAAGCAAGACGAAAGGCTGTTATCAGGGCATTAATTATTTTTAGTTTGGCAAAGAGTGGCCCTGCATATCTGGAGCATTTGATGTCTCCATTGAAAGTATAAACCTTGGATAAGAGCATATTGCATCTGCAGTATATCATATCTGCTGTCCATGAAATGAAGTACCATTACCCGGGGGGCGGGCAGAAAATTTGTAAGGGTACAATTTTCTTATTCTTTCGTGGGCACCGGAGGGTCCACCCTTGTCAAATTGCCCTCCGAGAAGGGGGGAGGGGGGAGGTAGACTTTGTTTGGGGGGGGGGGGGGGGGGGGTTGCCCTTGTTGCACTCCCTCTTGGATCTGCCCCTGCCATTACCTGAACCCTCTTTCCATTGCAGTCACCCACAGACAAGTTGGAATGCTGGGCTGTACTATAGAGTCAAAAACTCCCACTTATTGTCTTAGTACATGCAGTGAACAAGCTCCATAGAACACACATTTCTACCTCCAATTATGTACAAAATTCTTACACCCAGCAAAACTTCCCTAGAGTTGGCAATTATGGTTGTAGGAATTTCCCAGACCCAGAAAACTTACAATTGGCAACACTAATTTTTGGAAAATTCCTAGAACCAGGGAACTTCCCTGAGGTTGGCAACGGGAATTGTAAAAATTTCTAGATCCACAGAAACTTTCTTGGAGTTGGAACCACCGATTGCAGGAAATCCCTAGACCCAAGAAAACTTTAGAGTCAGCCAAACCGATTATGGGGGTCAGATTGACAACACTTGTCAGTGCAGTTCAACTATTCTGCAGCGGCAGTGTTGAGAACGGGAAAATGCCCTTTAGATCAAGAAGCTCGAGAGTCCATGGCCCCAACCCTTTTCCTCTCCCTTTTTCAGAAGGGTCATCGAGGCCCTCGTCGCCGCTCTCGGCGACCCAGTGCGCTCTGGGCAAACTGGTGCTGTCGGACGGCGAACATCGTGCCCTGGATAACTGCAACCGGTGCCAGTGCGACCGGGGCCGCCTCCTCTGCCGCGAGACCGTCTGCCACCAGGATCTGTGCCGCACTCGCAACCACACCTCCGGAAACTGCTGCACGCAGTGCCGAGGTGAGAACCCAAAACGCTCGTCTCCTAGAATTCAAATTGGTCATCGCGCGCTGCAAATTTTACATCGGACCTGAGGCGCAGGACAAGCAGCAAGCAGCGCGTGCGTCTTACTATTGTGACAGGTGTATGGGCACGCATGTCACCTTGTAGTAGCCAAAATACTAGATTAGGAAAAGGAAAAGTGTGAGCAACAGGAGCAGAACTGCACGGTGGTCAAACTCATTTTTCATAAAAAAAAAAGCAAGCCATCAGAGTAATTATGCGAGACAAAGCGAAGCCCAAGATATCACCAAAAAATTCCTTAGTCCGCAGGAGATTAGGATCAATAGACAAACAAACAATAAATAGTTAATTGAAGCTCTCAACGCCCAAGACAGAATCAATGTGAATTTGTGCACCTGTGAAGATAATGTTTAGGTAACTGTAGCTAAATTACCGTAATATCCCGAGTCATCGCCCACCCCCCTACCGCCTGAAATTCATTAAAAAAGTGGGGTGGGCCATGTCTCGGTGGGTGAGCACAAACACTTGAAAAAAAGCGGAAAAAACCGCCTATTTTTTTCTGCGTATCTAGCGCTGATGCACAAGAGATACATCAAACTCAAAACTCGATTTAGTTTCATTGTTTTATAGAAAAAAATGCTCACGAAAGAATATTTTACTATAGCGAAGTTCGTTGCTTGCATACGCGCTAGAAACACCGCCGATCTGCATATAGCGCGAACGTTTGTTCCGTGAAAGAATGTCACCACTATGTTCTCCTAGTTAGTAAATAAAGAAACAAAAGTCTACAAGAAAATAGAAAAACCGACCAGGCGCAACGAGCGAGCGAGCGAGCGGACCAAAGAAGCGACCAAGAGCAATGCTGGGAATGCGGGAAAGCCGGCGGTCGCGTTGGCAAATACTTTGGCGTCGGGCCAAGTCGGGCGCCTTGTCAATTGCAAGCTCTTGCGCAACTTTCTTGTTTCGTGCGTACATACGTGCGTCCGTGCACGGCGGGCTATCAATGCACGGTTCGGACGCTCTGCAAACGTGTGTGTTGGGCGTTCCAGCAAAGCTTTATTTACGCGTTAGCTTTGCCTAAAATATTGCACAACCGCGGTCGCGACGGGCGGGAAGAAGGAGCGGGTTCGCGGTGACCTTACTTCGGCGGTGACTGACTTTGACCTAACACTCCGCGGTTACATTAACAAACTCTTATTTTGTTATCTCCATCGTTTTCTTTTCGCACGGATACACGACCACTTTGAGGTCGCTCACGGAGGAAATGCGTAAACAAAAAGAAGTGTCTTTCCCTCCGTTTTACTTTGTCACGGACGTCCTCCAACTGTAAGGTCCGCGGCCGCGTCATTCGGGTAGGATGAGTGTTCGCGGATCGCAGAGTTCGCGCTGGGGTATTTGAAGGGGTGGGCGATGACTAGGTGTTTTTTCGGAAATCGATATTGGCCCAAAAAATGGGGTGGGCGATGGCTCGGGGATGGGCGATGACTCGGGATATTACGGTAAGTTACAAGCTATGTAACTAACTTACAGCTGGAGTTACTGGAATTTCATTCTAACTTGGAAGTGTTTAGGTACTAAAACTATAGGTAATCGCTACAACTAAAATACTTTGAATTAGTTCATTTACAGCCCCAGAAGAGTGGGGGAGTTGAAATAGTAATTCCAGTTTACTGCACTGCTGGAAAGTGTGTGCCACCCCCTGAACACGGAGTATGGCGACCTAACGCCACTTCCGACGTATCTCCTCACACAGAGCTGGGCCACGGCGACGACACCAAGGTGGGCCCCGGCGACGTCGGCTACATCGTAGCCATCGTATTCCTCGTCGTCCTCTTGATCTCCCTGTTCAGCTACAACCTGTTCCAGCAACGGAGGAAGCACCGTGCCAAGGGCTTCAACAAGGCCAGACAGCCGTACCAGAAGACACCCAACGGCCACGTCTGAATCCAATCCAACAAGAGCCGCACGGCATCCGGAACACCCCTCTCCCCCCAATTCTCCGTGCCCACCGGCATGCGGAAGCCTTTGTGATATCGAGTATTTATGCCAAAGCGGGCAGGAAACGAGGACCACGTCCCCTGTTGTGACTTCCGCAAATTTTTTTTAAATCGGTCTCTCGCCCACGGCCACGTGCCAGCTTTCTCGCCCACGGCCATACGCCAGGTTTCTCACCCAAGGATTCGTGCCCGCGGCCGTTTGTGACAAACCATGTGGGGTGTGAAGTGGCGCGACGACGACGTGACCTGCAAGCTACGTTTTCTATCTGCACATCGATCCTGGCGGCAGCCGCAGGGTAGCTCTATCCCACGACAAACGAACTACTTGTGGATCGCTCCCTTACCGCGAATGACGGGTGCACCCTTCGGCGAAGTGACTGCAGCGACGCCGCCGCAGTTTGCATGTGCCAAAACGTGCCATAGACGAAGGGCTGCCACGGCGAAACCGGGCAGCATCCATTTCTTTGTGTGATACGATGGAGTGCGACGCGACGGGGCGGAAGTCGCCCGGCGCACGTGGTCCGGCACGGCACCGCACTTTCGACGCAACCGTAATGCAAACTCTCACTCCCGGCCGACTGTCCCTCGACACGCAGAAAAATAAAGCGGGGACGACAAGAAGCCGCGACTGCATTTAGACGCGTAAACCGACCACCACGGCAAGGTTTGGACGTTTTTGTACGATAGCACGCGAGTGCGGTAGTCACGCACGTCGCGTTTGGTGGTGTGGTCGTCGCACTCGAGAGCACTTTTATCGGGTCGACGCCGTTTTTAAGCGTGCGTTTTTCCCTTACCCTTTTTTTTTTGTACAATGCCGTAAAGTGAAAAGGAGTGTCTTGGTCTCTTCCCTTTTTCCTAGTTTTGCCACTAGCGAGAGAAAGAAAACACCACCTTCTTGTTCGGTTTTTTTAAAACAATGTGTATATAAACTTCTTACATATTCCTTCGGAGTTACACCAAGATGAAAACAAAAAAAGGACAGAGGAAAGCATTCTCAGCGTTCCTTCACCGGTGTAGCGCCTCAATAAAGCCGAAACATTTCACTGTGGAGTGTGACTTGGTCGTTTTTAGTTTGCCGTCATTTCCATGAGGGACACTCTTCGGTGGTTTGCTTTGGCTACGGTTCGAGCTTCTTGATTCGAGGCAAGTTGTGCGAAGACATTGATGTACACATCGCGGCATTGTTAGCGCGAACACGACATCGGCGCCTTTTCGCATTTTATTAGGAAAGAGTGGGCACACAATTTTACTCCTTACATTAGAGCCCAAAATGAGCTCTTTCTATAACAATGATACCTTTGATGACGACCTTTCGGTTCCACGAGAAAAACGCAGAAAACTGGAGATCGCTCGTTCGCGCTAACAGTGTCGCGCTCTGTACAGCTTAATGTTTACCAATCCGACGGATTCGTATGCTCGGTGCGAGTGCTTTTCACCATGACCATAGTCTAGTTCACTTTATGCCCGAGCAAAGCCAAAGCTACGAGCACGAGCATATTGCCCTCAACGATGCTTTGCTGCACGAGAATGCGTGCTTGGCAGCGACGTTCACTGTTGTAGCTTTGACTATGCTTGTATTTAAAAGTGAAATGGAGTATATAGGCTCATTCTTGAGTTCCATGCAAACTCATAAAACCCTGTACTTGCTGCTCATGAAATTTTACTCTAATTTACTTAATACATAAATCTACTCATAAAATCAGCGGTAATTACCGAAAGCCCGGGAATCATTGCATGGTCCCTTTAATAAAAAGCTAAATGTGAGAAGTTTCCTACGTTTCATGGCAGCAATTCAGCCTCAGTAACGGTTGATAGTGGAGCTTGTTGGTACATACTTGTATATATTTGACAGCTTGAACCAGGGGAAGATATAGAGAAATTGAGACAGGAGAGAATAGACAGCTGACTACCAACGATTATTTAGTGGGAACTTCTTTTTCCTTGCGTGTTTTCAGACACCAACAAAAATTATTACATATTAAAACCTATTATACTAATATAATAATGCATGTGTATGTTTACAAAATTTTCACATTACCTAAACCTAAACTAATATTTTAAATTCACCCGCCACAAGCTCATACTGCCATTTTCTGGACCGTAACGCACCGTAGATATTGTCTCTCCTTTTTGTGAATAGTGATGGACGGGGTGCTGACGCACCCACTCGCTTGTTCTTCGATAGCAAGCGCCTCGAGCATCTCACGCGCATGAGTATTGTTATTACTGGCTAGGATGGTTATGTCCTTGAACGCTGCACTGCAGTGGCAAGTCCTGCAATGAGCTGCAAGATGCCCTGCCGACGTTCCTTGAAGGGATGCTGCGTGCTCGCGGGCTCTGTCGTTAATGCATCGGCCCGTCTGGCCGATGTAGCACTTCCCGCATGAAAGGGGAATGTTGTAAACCACTCCTGTCATGCATGGTACATATTGTGTTCTGTGGGCAATGTCGCACGTTTTTTCTTTGCCTGTTCTGTTGTTCACTCGTCTGCACATGGAGTACGCTTTGTTAGGCGCGGAGCATACTACTTGGATCTCATTCCTCGCGGCGATCTTTTTCAATTTGTGCGTAATCCCGTGAACGTATGGTAGCACAGCGATCTTCCTTCGGGTTTCCTCGTTTACTTTTTTGCCCGACTTTGCACTCTTCAAGTTTCTGCAGATGGTCTCACAAACGGGTACCAAGATACTTGTTGGGTATCCCGAATTCCGTAATCGTGACATCTGTTTTTCAAAGCTCGGCCCTATCTGGTGTTTACATGATTTGTTTAAGGCAGAAACTAACGCCGTGCTGGCGATACCTCTCTTAATAGTTCTTGAGTGGCCGGAGGTAAACGGCAGAAACCCTTTTGCTGACCGGGGTTCGTACCTCCAGCAAACGTGCCCTTGTTGGAAAATTAGCGCGAGGTCTAGGAATTTGATATTTTTGTCCACAGGTGATTCATGTGTGAACACCAATTCGGGGCAACTTTCTTGAAACACTTGCAGAATAATATCCTTGCATTCTTCACTCTGGTCGTCACCTTCTGTGGCACAAAGTACTAAAAAATCGTCCACATATCGGAAGATGGCTGTGACCCTTGTATCTGTGAGATTACTTGCGATGATCTTTCCGCATGCCCCCAGGAATAAGTCACACAATTGCGGCGCTACCCGAGACCCAATACATACTCCACTCTTTTGCACATATTGTTGATCTTGAAAGTCTACTACAGTGGAAGTCAGATATACACCTAATAGTTCCAAGAAGGTGCTCACACTTAGTCCAGCATTATTCTGAAACGCTGTAGAGCCCTGCTCCTCGATGGTGGATCGGAGAATCGCCATGAGTCTTCTGTGTGGGATTGAGTAATACATATCTTGGATATCGATGGAAAATCCAGATGTGACGCTTTCTCCATTCTTCTTAAGATATTCAATTAAATGTTCCGAGTTCTTAATTCTGTACGGATCGTCGGATTCTATCAAGGACAACTGTTTCGCCAGGAACGTCGACAAATGGACTTGCCAGGTTCCTCTTTCCGACACAATGGCCCGAAACGGTATGCCTTCCTTATGTGTTTTTGCTGAGAAAAAAACTTGCAGGTGTCCCTTCTTCGTTTTCTTTATTTTTGTGCTGAGGCTGTTAAGTTCGTTATTATCAAGTAGCTTCAGGGCTGCTGGTTTAGACTTCTTGCTTCTTTTTTCTTCCACATGAATGAAGTTCTTAGCCATTGCAGCAGAAGCTTTTTCTTCGTATGCGTCTGAATCTAAGACCACAAATCCGCCTTCCTTATCAGAAACACAGAGCTTAAGATCTTTGCTGATTAGCTCATGTACTGTGGTACCAAAGCTCCTATTTGCTTTTGCTGAGCTTCTTTGGCTTGCGATGCAGTCAATCCCTTCACTGATTATGCTTGACGCGCTCTCTTCTTGAGCCTTGGATGCGATGTTTCTGACCAAGGCAACCTTGTCAATGGGCTGTAGCCGTGGTGGTAGAGCAAACTTCGGCCCTTGTTCTAGTATGTTTCTCGCCTTATTTGAGATACTAATATCTCCGATGACTTGAAGGGCCTGTCTTTTTGGATGTTCCTTGTCCTTCCTTGCCAGGTGCTCCTTGAAATATGGGAGATACTGTGTTGTCCACATGGTCTCTGTTGAATGCCTTGCGATAGTCAGGTGGTTAATAAAAACATTGTAGTGGGGACACTTGGCACGTAGAAAATCTGTGAGAAGACGTTGTTGTCGCCAAGTCTCTGACCTGAGGATCTTGCTTACTCGCATAGCATGTCCCTGCGACGGAGCTATAAGGCCGAAGACTTGCCTTACATCATCTAGGATGATATTCTTGTTGATGCTACGTGCTAGTAGCCTACCTTGGCACGTGGTGGTGGCAATAAGATGGCTTAGAGTCTGCGGGGCCATTGATTGAATGCGTAGGAAGGAGGGGCTCAAATAACTAGAAAGAAACTGAGTAACGGTTGATAGTGGAGCTTGTTGGTACATACTTGTATATATTTGACAGCTTGAACCAGGGGAAGATATAGAGAAATTGAGACAGGAGAGAATAGACAGCTGACTACCAACGATTATTTAGTGGGAACTTCTTTTTCCTTGCGTGTTTTCAGACACCAACAAAAATTATTACATATTAAAACCTATTATACTAATATAATAATGCATGTGTATGTTTACAAAATTTTCACATTACCTAAACCTAAACTAATATTTTAAATTCACCCGCCACAAGCTCATACTGCCATTTTCTGGACCGTAACGCACCGTAGATATTGTCTCTCCTTTTTGTGAATAGTGATGGACGGGGTGCTGACGCACCCACTCGCTTGTTCTTCGATAGCAAGCGCCTCGAGCATCTCACGCGCATGAGTATTGTTATTACTGGCTAGGATGGTTATGTCCTTGAACGCTGCACTGCAGTGGCAAGTCCTGCAATGAGCTGCAAGATGCCCTGCCGACGTTCCTTGAAGGGATGCTGCGTGCTCGCGGGCTCTGTCGTTAATGCATCGGCCCGTCTGGCCGATGTAGCACTTCCCGTATGAAAGGGGAATGTTGTAAACCACTCCTGTCATGCATGGTACATATTGTGTTCTGTGGGCAATGTCGCACGTTTTTTCTTTGCCTGTTCTGTTGTTCACTCGTCTGCACATGGAGTACGCTTTGTTAGGCGCGGAGCATACTACTTGGATCTCATTCCTCGCGGCGATCTTTTTCAATTTGTGCGTAATCCCGTGAACGTATGGTAGCACAGCGATCTTCCTTCGGGTTTCCTCGTTTACTTTTTTGCCCGACTTTGCACTCTTCAAGTTTCTGCAGATGGTCTCACAAACGGGTACCAAGATACTTGTTGGGTATCCCGAATTCCGTAATCGTGACATCTGTTTTTCAAAGCTCGGCCCTATCTGGTGTTTACATGATTTGTTTAAGGCAGAAACTAACGCCGTGCTGGCGATACCTCTCTTAATAGTTCTTGAGTGGCCGGAGGTAAACGGCAGAAACCCTTTTGCTGACCGGGGTTCGTACCTCCAGCAAACGTGCCCTTGTTGGAAAATTAGCGCGAGGTCTAGGAATTTGATATTTTTGTCCACAGGTGATTCGTGTGTGAACACCAATTCGGGGCAACTTTCTTGAAACACTTGCAGAATAATATCCTTGCATTCTTCACTCTGGTCGTCACCTTCTGTGGCACAAAGTACTAAAAAATTTGCTCTACCACCACGGCTACAGCCCATTGACAAGGTTGCCTTGGTCAGAAACATCGCATCCAAGGCTCAAGAAGAGAGCGCGTCAAGCATAATCAGTGAAGGGATTGACTGCATCGCAAGCCAAAGAAGCTCAGCAAAAGCAAATAGGAGCTTTGGTACCACAGTACATGAGCTAATCAGCAAAGATCTTAAGCTCTGTGTTTCTGATAAGGAAGGCGGATTTGTGGTCTTAGATTCAGACGCATACGAAGAAAAAGCTTCTGCTGCAATGGCTAAGAACTTCATTCATGTGGAAGAAAAAAGAAGCAAGAAGTCTAAACCAGCAGCCCTGAAGCTACTTGATAATAAC